ATCATAATACCAATCAGATTAAGTCACATAGGGCACATAAACATGAAAGTTGACGAAAAGCTAATTTTTGAAAATTCACAATTCATTTTGGGAAACATAAACATGAACGAGCACAAATTTTCAGCATGCGTGTTGAATTTAAAATGCATATAACTTTCAGTCTACAGGTCATATTATGATTAAACGACTTGGAAAATATCCCTAACTCATGCCACTATCACTTTCATGAAGAACACTCAGGCAGATAAATAATTTAAAGGCACATAATACAGCAAACATACAAAACATGGGTGCAGTGGATAAATAAAAATATACAACTTGACAGGTTCTCATTGTATGCACAATAACCGAAGCTACAGACATGATATTACTAAAATTCAAAAACCCCAATGTAGATAATTCAATTCTCTATAACTTCTTTGAAGACCCCATTGGCAAATTATAACATTATCAACAAGTTTTAATATAAAACATTTAGTTTGCAAAAACAGCCAGAGAACAATTTTTTCGAAAATACAACACCTTAGTAAAATGAAACAACTCAAGCTAAACAACTCCAATTCATACAAACTCAAAACCAATATAATCTACCCATGGAAATATACAAATTTTATGAAGAAGATTGTTTCATAAGAACACGTTTAAGTCACCTAAACAGAGTACACATTCAACACTTAAACAAAATTTTGGTTTCATAAAAACTGGATGTACATTCCACTTAGAAAAATTATATAAAATCAACTGGAATTCCAAATCATATAAACTAAAAAGGTACAGAAACTACACAAGGAAAGCTACAAATTTCATGAAGAGAATATTTACATATGATCACGTTAAAGGTATCAATTCAGAGCATACATTTCATGCATACACACAGCCACTGTTTCAAAATCCTGGGCATAAATTCAACTTAGAAAAATCATATAAAATCAACTAAAATTCCAAATTCCATAATTCCAATTCCTACGGGTAGCTTATATCATATACTACATTTTTCATGAAGAACACATTTCCATTCAGGCATGTTAAGATCATCATAAATAGCCCATAACAACACAAAATTAAAAAGTCTTACAACCGCGGAACACACTAGTCCCAATAATACATACAAATAGCTAAGGATACTACCACCAGCATCCTTAAGAATACAAAAGCAATCAAAATCTGCCCAATGCTAAAATGTTAACACCTATCCTGGACATAAAAACTCAGAAACTGGAAAACACAAACTCAGCTAAAAGCAACAAGGATCTGTTGGAACTTCCAGCTACCAACCTCCAAGCAGGAACCCTCAAATGAAGAAGCAAAAATAGATGAACCACTGAACCCAAGGACCTAGAACAATCTATCTTCCTCCTGTATCTGTTAACTCTTGGCCCCTCTAAACTCCATCCAGTCTCTCCAGGCTGATTTCACCACTACTATCTCTGGCATCATGATATGTTCAAACTTCCATAAGTTTCTTGATTTCCACATCCACCAAAGGATGTAGGTGGTCAGTTGAATCCTATCCTCAGAAATTTGAAGCTTGTTAACAGAACAAATGCTGCTCCACCAATTGCTAAATCTGACATTTTTATCCTCCATTCCCTCCCACTGCAAAGGGGATAACTTCCAAATTCTAAGAGCTCTTGAACAATGGAAGAACATATGTTCTATTGATTCCTCATCCTCTCCACAGCTTTGACAAATAGGATCAATGTCCATCCCTCTTCTTTTTAGGTTCAAACTGGTAGGCACTGCATTATTAACACACTTCCAAACAAAATGTTTGAGTTTCCCTTTAATCTTCAAGTTCCAACTTCTTTTTCTTAACTGCCTGTTTCTCACTGTCGATCTACTACCTTCAGCCACATCCATATCCCTGCATTTCTTCACAATTATAGCCTCATAAGTCTTGCTCACAGAAAACAACCCTTTGGCATTTAGAGTCCACATCCATCTGTCTTTCAACTGATTATTCATACTTTTAACATTCAGAATTGCTTTCACATCTTCCTCCTCAAACAGGTCATTCAGCAATTGTACATTCCATCTGTTCCCATCCTCACTGAGCAGTTGATTTACAGTCTGAAGGTGACTTGTAATTCCTGATTTGAGAAGAGGCCTTCCTGTACTGTGAGTCAAGAGCCAAGGATCTTTCCAAATATTTGTGGTCAAACCATCCCTAACCTGAATTCTGAAGAATTGGTTGTATTTATCTCTGACATTTAACCAACTAAGCCACAACCAAGATGCTGAAGTATTCCTTTTAGCCTGTAAGATAGAGTCATTTGGAAAGTACCTGCCTTTCAATACTTTGGAAACCAGAAGGTTTGGATGGACAAGAACCCTCCAAATTTGTTTCAGGATCAAAGCTTCATTAAAAAGTAACAATTCTTTGAATCCTAAACCACCCTGATCTTTAGGTAAGGCTAAGACATTCCAAGCTCTCCAATGTATACCAGCTGCTTGCTCCCTCCCTTTGCTCCACCAAAAATTAGCAGTCAATCTAGTAATCTCCCTACAAACTCCAACAGGCAAACAGAAGCAAGACATAGAGAAAACAGGAAGAGAATCTATAACTGCTTTAATCAATACTTCCTTTCCAGCAGTAGAGAGGAAATTTGCCTTCCAGTTAATAAGCTTCCTTTTAACAGCCTCAGTAACAAAAGCAAAAACTTCTTTTTTAGACTTCCCAATTCCCAGTGGAAGTCCAAGATACCTTGTAGATTTTTGGATTTGGATACCCCGAAAGATTGCACAAATGCTCTCCTGCATAGCTCTGTTGGTACTTTTGCTGAAAAAGACTGAAGATTTTCCAAGATTGATCTTTTGGCCAGAAAACCTTTGGTATTTTTCCAGTACAGTCATCAGAATTTGGGCATGAGCTTCATCTGCAGTACTAAAAAATAAAGTATCATCCGCAAACATGAGGTGAGAAATAGAGACACCATTTTTACCCATTTTAATGCCAGAGAACAACCCTCTATCAGCAACATTAGCAAGCATTCTAGACAAGGCCTCCGAGACAAGAATGAAGATATATGGAGATAAAGGATCTCCCTGTCTAATCCCTCGAGAAGCTTCAACAAATCCTCTCATCTCCCCATTTAAACTAAAAGAAAAAACAGGAGAAGAAATACAAGCCATGACCCATTTCACAAATTTACAATGAAAACCCATCCTGCCCAATACTTTTTCCACACAACCCCACTCAATCCTATCGTAAGCTTTCTCCATATCCACTTTAACTGCCATAATCCCTTTTTTACCAACCCTATGTCTATTAAGATAATGAACTGCTTCCTGAGCTATAATAACATTATCCAACAGTTGCCTTCCAGGAATGAAGGCACTTTGATTAGGACTAATGCAGCTATGAAGACAACCCTTCAGTCTGGAGGTTAAAATTTTAGAAATAATTTTATAAGAAACCCCACAAAGGCTAATAGGTCTGTAATTGCCTATAGACACAGGATTAGGACATTTAGGGATAAGAGAGATAATAGTGTGGTTCCAATTCTTAAGTAATTGACCAGAAGAAAAAAAACTGAGAACAGCCTCACACAAATCAAATTTCACCACATCCCAAAAAGATTGAAAAAATATAGAAGACATACCATCTTGACCTGGTGCCTTTCCTGGGTCCAAATTGAACAGAGCTTCTTTGATATCCTCTTCAGTGACTGGAGACACCAATTCATCATTCATAGCTTCAGTTATGGATACTGGTATTAGGTGCAAAATATCTTCATCCCCTACTGAACCCTCGGTTGTGAACAATTTCTCATAATACTGGCAAATGCAACCTTCAATATTCTGAATATCTTCCCACACTTGCCCTTCAGAGTCCTGAATCCTCTGAATAGAATTGAAGCTTCTCCTTTGAAGGGTGAGTGCATGGAAATATTTCGAGTTAGAGTCTCCCTCTCTCAGCCATTGACTTCTAGATTTTTGCTGCCAGAATTCTTCCTCCTTCAAATAAATTTTGTCCAGTTCCACTTTGAGGCTTTCCCATTCTGCCCAATCTCTGTCCCCACCTTGTCTACTCAGGAGCTCGATTCTATCTGTAATTCTTTGTTTTTCTCTCAACTCATCGGCTCTGAACCCTTTGCTCCATTTTAGCAGTGCCACCCTAACTTCTTTAATCTTCTCTGTCACCTGATACATTGGAGTGCCTGTCTTGGAACTTCCCCATGCTTTAACAACCACATCTTTAATCCCTTTCCTTTGAAGCCAGCTTCTATTAAAAAAGAATCTTTTCTTCTTCCCAATCTCCCTTTGACTATCATCAGCAAGAATTAGCAATCTATGATCTGATGAGCTCTGATAATAATTACTAACCACTGCATCTGGTTTTGACACCATCCAATCAAAGGAACAGAAGAACCTATCAATTCTTTCCTCAATGAACCCTTCCTGATCCCTATTATTAGCCCAGGTATAGGGATACCCTGTGCTATGTACTTCCTGCATCTCCATTCTAGCCACAAATTCATTGAAAGCATAACACTCTTGGGCAGATTTCTGTCTACCCCCTTTCTTCTCATTTGGCTCTCTTATGGCATTCCAGTCTCCTCCCATAATCCAATGTTTACCCCATTTCTCTTTAGCTTTCACCAACATTTCCCACTGCTCAGCTCTCACTATCTTATCCACACTCATATAGACAAACACCAACCATACACATGGACCTCCTGCAATACCCTCCACTTGGACCTCGAAACAGAAATCATGCTCCAGGATTTGCTTAATTACCACCTCCTTGTTCCATAACAATAAAATACCTCCACTGAGCCCCTGAGGATCCACCGCAGTCCATCTATCTCTAAATCCTATTTTCTTACAAACTGAGTTCATAAAATCCTTCTTTTTTTTGTTTCTGAAATGAAAATAAAACTTGGATGGTGGAATCTAGAGGATTCCTTTATTTGGGAAACTGTAGAGGGTCCACCCAACCCTCTACAGTTCCACACCATTAGCTTCATTTGGAAACTTGGGCCCATTCTAGGCTGGCCACCACCACCTTTTCAGAATCAATTTTTAGCTTTTTGGATTGCTGGGTTGAGGACACTTTATCCTCTTGGCTTCTATCCTCTTCTTCTTCTATCACCAATTTTCTTTTGGATAGCTTTTTGTGAGTTTGAGATAATGATTCCTGAGCCTTTTGGGTCAACACCTTACTTCTATCACTGACCCTTCTCCATCCCTTAGCTTTATTGCATTGTTTTCCTTCCCCATGTACTTGTTGTTTCTCCTGCATTTCCTCAAACTCTGCCAACCTACTTTCACCTGGGTATTCAGTCTCCATATCAACTCTTTCAGCTCCCTTTTGACTTTGTATCCCCTCGAAACCCTCTGAAATCTTTAACACTGACTGCCTAGGAGTACTCTTATTGGAACTCTCCAACCCTACTGCTTCCCCTTCTTGATTTGGCTCTTTTTCTTTCTGAGAGTATTCTGGAATTGGAATCGGTATCTGAGACTGCATACTCTTACTACCAATGGCCTGGTTATCCACTGATTTTTCTGTAGAAATTCTCTCTGAGGGTTGAGGAATTTCCTCTGATGGATGACTGTTGAAGTTGCTAGAAGGCCCTGATCTACCTCCCACAAAACCCTCAGGAGCCTTCATCCATTCACCATATTGCCCCTCCTTTGATTCCCCAGCTAGGAAATCCCTACTCCTTTTGTCGCAAGTTCTTTCTAAATGCCCAATAATCCCACAATAGTAACATATGCTGATCAATCTTTCATATTGCAGGGAGATTCGGAAAACCACATTATGCAATTTGATACTAGCACACCGGGGTAGAGGTTTAGTAACATCAACCACTACCAGCAACCTCAAATAACTTCCTCTACTCCCTCCTGCTTTAACTACAATCACATTTTGAATTTGCTTAAAAATACTCCCGATTTTCCTACCAACTTCAGAACAAAGGCAATTCAACGGCAAATCATTCGCCTGCACCCACATCCGAAGTTCAGAAAATCCCTTGTGATGTTCAGTTAATCCCTCTTCCCATTCCCTAAGAATCAGAAATTGATTTTCAAAGACCCAGTTCACCCCTGCTAAAACCTTCTTCTTATCCTCCAAATTACCAAATAAGAACTGGAAAAAGTTATTCTTCAATTCTTTAACCTCCATTTGGTCTCTGAGTTGCCATATTAACCCCATCGTCCTCTTGATCCCCAGCAGGCTTGCCCTACGATCTCCAATCACTTTCCCGAACAGACTACGTTCACATTCTTCTGCCCCAATTTTAATGTCGTCATCTTTAAGTTCAATGAGTGTAACTTCTGGCTCCGATAAATCTATACCCTTGAACCGAATACCCAAATCGTCAGGAATTAGTGATGAATTGGTGTCTCCTGCTACCTGTGATTCCATCAAGAAACCTGCAAAAGGAAACCANGGTAGCTTATATCATATACTACATTTTTCATGAAGAACACATTTCCATTCAGGCATGTTAAGATCATCATAAATAGCCATGAACTAAAATCAAATCCTTCTGCCCGAGTTTATCAAAACAGCATGCTTGGCAAACTTTGAAAAATCATATCAAATTCATTTTAATCCTAAATCACAAAATTCCAAAACTCACAGAAACTTCATTCAGAGAGCTACACCTCTCATGAAGAATACTTGTCCAAGAAACATCATCTTGTTTGAGAAAAATAGAGCCTAACTGAAACTCGAAAAATTGAATTTTCGTGCCTTCACCAACTCAAAATGATCACACAACAACATAGCCTCCAGATCACGTAAGTTACACGTTAAGCAAGCCTCAATATCAATACTTTAAGACTTAAGAATTTTATATATCATCAAACACATTGTCCGAGGTCCAACTCGGTCTTATTAAACAAGATAGAAAAATAAAGTCTTATGCCTTTCACTTAAATTATTACATCTTTTGGTTTGATAATATATAACAATTCACATTAATACATAAATTTAACCTCAATCATCGAAGATCACATATACATCACATGAACCCGACCAAACCTATCATGATATAAACGAGACTCTCAACCTGATACACTTATCTTATCATATCACAAGTTTCGAGAGGTGTTTCTAGCTTTTAACCGAAACACGTAAACATGCTAGAGCATCAAATAAGCACATATCCTTATCTCTTGCCCATCTAATCATGCTTCGAGCTAGCATGAACTCACCCTTACTAAGGCACAATAGACATTAAACACATAACACACCAGAGGTGGAACATAGGCCATGAACATCCATAAAAATGGCAGCCTTTAATATTGACTCATATCATAATTTTCGAAACCTGACAAAGGTCCGAAGAGGGAGAATACATTCCCGGTTCTCATTGACCGGGTCCTCACTTGAAGACATTGAATATAATTATATAGCAAAGAAAACTGCTATGGGCATAACTTATCTCGATAACGACATACTGAACCTCATAACGAGGAACATCTAGAGTCCGAACTTAACTCTATATCACTAGAGTTCAACATCAAACACTAGAGTTCACATTAAACGAAGGTGGATAGATCCTAAGCCCCAAAAGTCAATAAGTCATAACATAAGCAGTTTCATTACTGCCTATGTAAAAATATAAAATTTCACATCTTCACATTATAAGTATTTTCATCGATACTTATATAAACATACCTTTAAGCAGCGCAGCGTGACGAAGACGAGTGGTCAGATACAATTTCTAAACACTTAATCACATATAAACCAGTCTACAGAAACGCAGACTGGCTCTGATACCAAACTGTAACGCCCCACTTTATTTTGAAAGATTTATCGAATTTATTTAATAGAAACCACAATATTTTTTTTTTTTACAAACATTAATGTAATTAAAAACTCAGTGGGCGCTACTCAACCTACCAAAAACTTTTATCCAAAAATGCTAACACAGCAAATAAAGGCAGCATGCACGAATAATAAACCATAAACCAATCTAGCATTCATCAGGTTCCAATTCATAAAAGATAATTCATAATTCCATGTTCCGAAATGACATAACCAAAATATCCAAATTCAACATGAGTTCATGAACTAAGCGGAAGCAAGGTTAATAAAGCAATAATAAATAATATAACCACCACTCGTCATCTCGTCTCGTCACCCGCCAGCTGCTTAACCTGCATCCGTGAAGAGCAGGTAGGAGTGAGTACAGTTAAATATCGTACTCACACTATGCATATGAATAACATAACAATGGTATGGTCGCAGCATGAACATAAACAATGATCACAACATGTCCCATCTCCTAATCAAAATCACACCATTTAACCTTACTCATGTGCACATCTATCGCTAGCCGCAGAACGGGAATTCATTACCCGAAGGC